ACAGGAAATTTTCAGGCGTGCCCATAAATCTCCTGGCTGTTTGTTTGGGAGAACAGGGTTTTCTCGTCTGTAACAGAATAGTCGTGGCATTTGCTATGGAATGCTGGTGGCAATCTAGTCAGAAGAGGACCCCGTGCTTCACTAATTTTGCCTTTTTGTTGTTCAGGGTGACTTCTTCCCAGGGATGTTATTCTTGACACCCCGGGGCAACTGGAGGTATTCACCTGGTCAGCGTCAGGAGCCATCCTAACTGAGGCCTCGGTGAGTGCTTTTTGTGTGACTGGCCGGTGAAGCTGTCTGTGGGAATGACCCGGCTATTGCTCGGTGTGGTCCTAATTAAGGTGTCTTTTACTCCGTGTTCCCAGGCTCCCTCCTTCCCTTCGATCGCCGTGGGTGTGCCGGACGCCTCTGGCAGGGCTAACCCCGTGGCTTTTCTGTCCAACGTGCTGTGCTGTGTGTGCCTGCAGGTAAGAAAAGCTGGGGGCGCAGTCCTTCTGCTTTGCTTGCTGTGTCTCTTGGGGAGTGATTTTGGAGGGGAATCCCAGAGCGATTTGGTTTGAAGGGGACCTTCAAAGGCCAGCCTGCCTTCCGTGGGCAGGGACACCTTCCGCTCTCATCCCCGGCTGGATGCTCCCAGTCCCATCCAGCCTGGCCTGGAACACTTGCAGGGATGGGGCAGGCTCAGCTTCCCTGTGCAGTGTGCTCTAATATCTCTCCACTGGCATCAGGAAAAATTTTGTCAGCGTGTTTTGTTCAACGATGGTAAGCAGGACCCGGGTGAAAATGACATTCTGTTAGGTGCAGAGGGAAATAATTCTCCTTTGAAGCCAAATGTATTCAGATTTGCACGAGTCTTGTCTGCCTTATGTTTGAATTGCTTTCTATTCTAGGCAGTTGTTTTAAATTAAACTTTTATTTTGTGTCTCCCCCCCAGTATCCTGTCCAAGACAAAGCTACCTTTCCTCGTGGGAATGGACCGGCCGGGCTTTGGCAATCTGGCCCCTCGAAAGCCTTAAGTGACCTCTTCCAACAGGGGAAGACTGAAGCAAGCGGTGCCAGAAAGAACTGGAGCTTCTGGAGAATAAAAGCTGGAAGCGTGCCCCCAAAAATCCCCCGGGTGGTCAGTGGTCTGACTTGCACGGACCGGTGGCCTCGGCCAGGAGCGGTCCTGCGGGAAGCGCCTTTGCCCAGGCTGTAATTTTAATTTCCATTGGATGCTTGGCAAAGCCCCCCTGGGTGAGCCCCCGTGCCTGGCATGAGCGGAGCGGGCTTCCAGGGAGGTATTCACCTGGTCAGCGTCAGGAGCCATCCTAACTGAGGCCTCGGTGAGTGCTTTTTGTGTGACTGGACGGTGAAGCTGTCTGTGGGAATGACCCGGCTATTGCTCGGTGTGGTCCTAATTAAGGTGTCTTTTACTCCGTGTTCCCAGGCTCCCTCCTTCCCTTCGGTCGCCGTGGGTGTGCCGGACGCCTCTGGCAGGACTAACCCTGTGGCTTTTCTGTCCAACGTGCTGTGCTGTGTGTGCCTGCAGGTAAGAAAAGCGGGGAGTGCAGTCCCTCTGCTTTGATTGCTGTGTCTCTTGGGTAGTGATTTTGGAGGGGAATCCCAGAGCGATTTGGTTTGAAGGGGACCTTCAAAGGCCAGCCTGTCTTCCGTGGGCAGGGACACCTTCCACTGTCCCCGGTTGCTCCCAGTCCCGTCCAGCCTGGCCTGGAACACTTGCAGGGATGGGGCAGGCTCAGCTTCCCTGTGCAGTGTGCTCTAATATCTCTCCACTGGCATCCTGAAAAATGTTGTCAGCGTGTTTTGTTGGACGCCGGTAAGCAGGACCCGGGTGAAGAGGACATTCTCTGAGGTGCTGGGAGAAGGAGGACTCGTGCGGGCACCTCCAGAGACAGCGGGAACGGGAGCGTGCTGCGGAGAAGGAAAATTCCAGGGGGTGGGTGCCGAGAAATTTGTCCTTCCCTCGCCCTGTGCTCTGCACTTAGCAATGGGTCAAGTGCAGAAGTTTCCTGGGGACCCTGGGAAATGATGCCGGGTCTGCTAAGAAAAGTGGGGCCAAAGGAGCAGGACCTGGGTCTGCGAGCGTGGGAGAAACAAGGGATGGGTCATCCTCTGCCTCCGGGAGGGAGGGCAGCAGGAAAGGCCACGGACTAAAGCACTGAAGTGCCGTTCCCCAGGGAGCCCCTGCCCAGCACTGGACTTGCTTGTGCACTTGCTGTCCCTTTCCCAGCGGAGCCGAAGCGTCGGGTGCGGGTGCCGGGGGGATGGAGCTGCCAAGGACAAACTGGGAGGGTGTATGCGAGGGAAGGGGGGAGAAGGAGCTCTTGACGTGCTTTTTTTACTTCTTCATCCCACAGAATTGCCGCGAGAGGAAATACCTCAGAGGGGCTTCCCTCCAGGTAAGCCCTGAATATGCCAGGAGGTTTCAGCCGGGAGGAAAGGAGCTGTGGAAGAAAAGCAGCCTAAAAATAGCCAGCGGGGATCATCAGGTTTTCCAGCCAAGAAGCACAAGGAGAGAGATGAGGGAATCGGGTTCCAATTCCTAATGATTTGGTGGGTGCAGGAATGATTTGTGTGTGTTTTCCAGTCCCTTTTGATTCCTGGGATGATTTTAAAATGATGGCTTTAGCAATCAACTAAATCGGAGATGTTGTTTCTGAGAGGAAATGGTGCCAAATAAATGCAGAGTTTTGGGTCAGTTTTGGGGATGATTTGGGTCAGTTTTTGGGGTCAGTTTGGGGTCACTGTTTGGGGTGATTGGGGTCAGTTTTGGGTCAGCTTTTGGGATGATTGGGGTCAGTTTTGGGTCAGCTTTTGGGATGATTTGGGTCAGGTTTTGGGGTCAGTTTTGGGTCAGCTTTTGGGGTGATTTGGGTCGGTTTTGGGTCAATTTTTGGGGAGCACTGGGTGTTCCTGGGGGTTGTTGGGGGGCACTGGGTGTTTACTGGGGAGCACTGGGTGTTGCTGGGGGTTGTTGAGGAGCACTGGGTGTTACTGGGGTGCACTGGGGAGCACTGGGTGTTGCTGGGGGTTGTTGGGGAGCACTGGGTGTTACTGGGGAGCACTGGGGAGCACTGGGTGTTGCTGGGTGTTACTGGGGAGCACTGGGAGAGAAAATGAAAAATAAAGAGAATAAAAAATAAACGAAATAAAAAAGGAAATATAAAAAACAAAATAAAATTAAAAAAAAAGGCAAAAAACCTAAAAAGGAAATAAAATGAAAATGAAATAAAAGAGAAAAAAAAAACAAAAAAAGAAACCCCTTCTTGGGCACCCCGTTTCCTCTCCTCCCGGCCCCCGACCCGTAAATTGCGGGGTCATCACCCCTAAAATGTGAGACGGGGACCCCAAAATGCGGGTGGGGGAACCCCAGGGAGCCGAAAAAGCGGAGGGGGAGCCGCAGTAAGAAAGCGAAGCCGGGCGGTCGGGCGGCGGGGTGGGGGGGCAGGCAAGGTGGCGACGCCGGCGCGTGCGCAGTCGTTGGCAAGACGCCGGCGATCACGTGGTAAGTAAGGGCAGCCAGGAGCGGGACCGGCGACGCATGCGCAGTGGCTCTCGTGGCGGTGCAGCGCTCCCTGCTCGAGTTAAGGGCCGGTTCCGGCGGCAGGGCGGGACTCGCGGTCTCCCGTCTCTCCCGGGGTGTGTGTGGGGGGAATAACACGAAGATTTTTTGGGGCGAAAGCGCAGAAATTAGCGAGGAGGGACGCTAATTTGGGTAAACTCGGTCACCGGAAGTAGAGAGCGACCGGAAGTCCTCCAAGGCCCCGGCCCGGAAGTCCGCCAAGCCCACAGTAAAGATGGCGCCGCCAGGACCGGAACGACCACACTAAAGATGGCGGCCCCGGCCCGGAAGTCCGCCAAGCCCACAGTAAAGATGGCGCCGCCAGGACCGGAACGACCACACTAAAGATGGCGGCCCCGGCCCGGAAGTTCGCCCCGACGCCACACTCAAGATGGCGCCGCCACGACCGGAACTTAGCCGAGGCCACACTAAAGATGACGCCGCGGCCCCCGCTCGCCCCGCTCCGCTCCGCTCCCGCCCCCGCTCCCGCTCCCGCTCCCGCCGTGCCCTGGAGATGCTATCGGGGCTGCGCCGCCGCCTTCCCCCCCCCCCCCGGAAGCGACCCACGGCGGCAGATCCGACGGAGATCGTCCCCGGGGTAAGCTGGGCGCGGCGGGTGGGCGCGGCCGCTCTTCTGCCTCTCCCGCGGCCATCGGGGACTGCAGGCCGGGGAAGCGACAGGCAAGTTTCCCGCCTCTGCGGAGAAACTCGCACCTGCGTGCCGCCGCAGGGCCGGGTTCGGATGTGCCCTGGCATTGCACACGCACCACACCCCCCCGCGGGGAGGGTCTGCGCTGCCTCGGGGACCCTGTCTGTGCTGCCGGGAGAGAGAAATCCTTTGGGAAGCTGGGCTGGAAACAGCAACTCTGTGAACTGCTCAGCTTTTCCTAGGCAAGGGCAGGTTTTAGGGAAGAAAGGCCCGGACGCGCGAAAGGCGCCGCGGGTCTCGCCAAGGGGGGGGGGGCGCGCGCGGCTGCAGCGCCGCGCGCGGCTGCAGTGCCGCTCCCGGCCGTGTCCGCCAGGCGGCGACTGTGAGGCAGGGCCCGGCGCTCGGGGGCGCTCTGGCAAGCGACGCTTGCCCTGGGAAAGCGGCGGGCTTTGGCCACTGCCGGCCTTCCCCCGCAGTGCCCGGGCTGGCCCAGCGCCTGGCAAAACCTCGTAGGGAAAAGGCAAGCAACACCTGCGGTGGTTCTGCCCTTTCTTTAGCCAGGGACTGGAACACAGACAAAATCAAGGGGCTCTTTGACCTGGGCAGGCTCCCAGCATTTTTCAGCCTTCCTTAGCAGGGCATTCTCACCCTCTGAAAAGCTGAAAGGCTTTAACAGCTGGAGACGCGCCTGCAGCTGTGCAGATTAATGTAGTTTCTTTTAGGAAACGAAGGGGAGGTTTTCCTGTTGTGAGCCTAAATACCGAGTCTACTCTGCTTTTTCAATCAGGTGACGAAGCTTATGGAAAAAAAGACCAAAGGCCTCGAGGTGAGCACATTCTACCGAGTTCTGCTTTTCTGGGATCGGTTTGGGAAAATCACGTGAAATTCTAAAAAGCTTCTCTCCGTGTTTTCTAGTTGTTTTTTCAGCCTTGGTCTAAGTTTCATGTAGAAAAGGGCATAGAATTATTAGAACAGACCAACTAGACTTTCTCGGGAGAGATGGAAGAAAAGGCTGCTGATTGCAGTTCTGCTTTTCTTGTCTTCCCTTCGACCGTCATTTTCTCTCCCCTGCTGTTCAAATAGGCAGCAATTAATTGCTCTGCTGAAGAGTTTGCTGTACTAAGTGTCTGTCAAATTGATGCCTTCAACTCAAGATAGCACCTGCTCCTTAGTTACAAAAAATTTCTCACGGGAAATTTTCAGGCGTGCCCATAAATCTCCTCGCTGTTTGTTGGGGAGAACGGGGTTCTCTCGTCTGGGACAGAACAGTCGTGTCATTTGCTATGGAATGCTGGTGGCAGTCTAGTCAGAAGAGGACCCCGTGCTTCACTAATTATGCCTTTTTGTTGTTCGGGGTGACTTCTTCCCAGGGATGTTCTTCTTGACCCCCCGGGGCAAACGGAGGTGTTCCCCTGGTCAGCGTCAGGAGCCATCCTAACTGAGGCCTCGGTGAGTGCTTTTTGTATGACTGGACGGTGAAGCTGTGGGAATGACCTGGCTATTGCTCGGTGTACTCCTAATTAAGGTGTCTTTTACTCCGTGTTCCCAGGCTCCCTCCTTCCCTTCGGTCGCCGTGGGTGTGCCGGACACCTCTGGCAGGGCTAACCCTGTGGCTTTTCTGTCCAACGTGCTGTGCTGTGTGTGCCTGCAGGTAAGAAAAGCTGGGAGTGCAGTCCTTCTGCTTTGCTTGCTGTGTCTCTTGGGTAGTGATTTTGGAGGGGAATCCCAGAGCGATTTGGTTTGAAGGGGACCTTCAAAGGCCAGCCTGCCTTCCGTGGGCAGGGACACCTTCCGCTCTCATCCCCGGCTGGATGCTCCCAGTCCCGTCCAGCCTGGCCTGGAGCACTTGCAGGGATGGGGCAGGCTCAGCTTCCCTGGGCAGTGTGCTCTAATATCTCTCCACTGGCATCCTGAAAAATGTCGTCAGCGTGTTTTGTTGGACGCCGGTAAGCAGGACCCGGGTGAAGAGGACATTCTGTTAGGTGCAGAGGGAAATAATTCTCCTTTGAAGCCAAATGGATTCAGATTTGCACGAGTCTTGTCTGCCTTATGTTTGAATTGCTTTCTATTCTAGGCAGTTGTTTTAAATTACACTTTTATTTTGTGTCTCCCCCCCAGTATCCTGTCCAAGACAAAGCTACCTTTCCTCGTGGGAATGGACCGGCCGGGCTTTGGCAATCTGGCCCCTCGAAAGCCTTAAGTGACCTCTTCCAACAGGGGAAGACTGAAGCAAGCGGTGCCAGAAAGAACTGGAGCTTCTGGAGAATAAAAGCTGGAAGCGTGCCCCCAAAAATCCCCCCGGGTGGTCAGTGGTCTGACTTGCACGGACCGGTGGCCTCGGCCAGGAGCGGTCCTGCGGGAAGCGCCTTTGCCCAGGCTGTAATTTTCATTTCCATTGGATGCTTGGCAAAGCCCCCCTGGGTGAGCCCCAGTGCCTGGCATGAGCGGAGCGGGCTTCCAGGGAGGTATTCACCTGGTCAGCGTCAGGAGCCATCCTAACTGAGGTCTCGGTGAGTGCTTTTTGTGTGACTGGACGGTGAAGCTGTCTGTGGGAATGACCCGGCTATTGCTCGGTGTGGTCCTAATTAAGGTGTCTTTTACTCCGTGTTCCCAGGCTCCCTCTTTTCCTTCGGTCGTTGTGGGTGTGCCGGACGCCTCTGGCAGGACTAACCCTGTGGCTTTTCTGTCCAACGTGCTGTGCTGTGTGTGCCTGCAGGTAAGAAAAGCGGGGAGTGCAGTCCCTCTGCTTTGATTGCTGTGTCTCTTGGGTAGTGATTTTGGAGGGGAATCCCAGAGCGATTTGGTTTGAAGGGGACCTTCAAAGGCCAGCCTGTCTTCCGTGGGCAGGGACACCTTCCACTGTCCCCGGTTGCTCCCAGTCCCGTCCAGCCCGGCCTGGAACACTTGCAGGGATGGGGCAGGCTCAGCTTCCCTGTGCAGTGTGCTCTAATTTCTCTCCACTGGCATCCTGAAAAATGTTGTCAGCGTGTTTTGTTGGACGCCGGTAAGCAGGACCCGGGTGAAGAGGACATTCTCTGAGGTGCTGGGAGAAGGAGGACTCGTGCGGGCACCTCCAGAGACGGCGGGAACGGGAGCGTGCTGCGGAGAAGGAAAATTCCAGGGGGTGGGTGCCGAGAAATTTGTCCTTCCCTCGCCCTGTGCTCTGCACTTAGCAATGGGTCAAGTGCAGAAGTTTCCTGGGGACCCTGGAAAAGGATGCCGGGTCTGCTAAGAAAAGTGGGGCCAAAGGAGCAGGACCTGGGTCTGCGTGCGTGGGAGAAACAAGGGATGGGTCATCCTCTGCCTCCGGGAGGGAGGGCAGCAGGAAAGGCCACGGACTAAAGCACTGAAGTGCCGTTCCCCAGGGAGCCCCTGCCCAGCACTGGACTTGCTTCTGCACTTGCTGTCCCTTTCCCAGCGGAGCCGAAGCGTCGGGTGCGGGTGCCGGGGGGATGGAGCTGCCGAGGGCAAACTGGGAGGGTGTATGCGAGGGAAGGGGGTAGAAGGAGCTCTTGACGTGCTTTTTTTACTTCTTCATCCCACAGAATGGCCGCGAGAGGAAATACCTCAGAGGGGCTTCCCTCCAGGTAAGCCCTGAATATGCCAGGAGGTTTCAGCCGGGAGGAAAGGAGCTGTGGAAGAAAAGCAGCCTAAAAATAGCCAGCGGGGATCATCAGGTTTTCCAGCCAAGAAGCACAAGGAGAGAGATGAGTGAATCGGGTTCCAATTCCTAATGATTTGGTGGGTGCAGGAATGATTTGTGTGTGTTTTCCAGTCCCTTTTGATTCCTGGGATGATTTTAACATGATGGCTTTAGCAATCAACTAAATCGGAGATGTTGTTTCTGAGAGGAAATGGTGCCAAATAAATGCAGAGTTTTGGGTCAGTTTTGGGGATGATTTGGGTCAGTTTTTGGGGTCAGTTTGGGGTCACTGTTTGGGGTGATTTGGGTCAGTTTTGGGTCAGCTTTTGGGATGATTTGGGTCAGGTTTTGGGGTCAGTTTTGGGTCAGCTTTTGGGGTGATTTGGGTCGGTTTTGGGTCAATTTTTGGGATGATTTGGGTCACAAGGTGTTGGGGTCAAGTTTTTTGGGTCCAGTTCTTGGGGTGATTTGGGTTGGGGGGTCGGTATTTGGGTTTTGGGGTCAATTTGTGGGGAGCACTGGGTGTTGCTGGGGGTTGTTGAGGAGCACTGGGTGTTACTGGGGTGCACTGGGGAGCACTGGGTGTTGCTGGGGGTTGTTGGGGAGCACTGGGAGAGAAAATGAAAAATAAAGAGAATAAAAAATAAACGAAATAAAAAAGGAAATATAAAAAACAAAATAAAATTAAAAAAAAAGGCAAAAAACCTAAAAAGGAAATAAAATGAAAATGAAATAAAAGAGAAAAAAAAAACAAAAAAAGAAACCCCTCTTGGGCACCCCGTTTCCTCTCCGCCCGGCCCCCGACCCGTAAATTGCGGGGTCATCACCCCTAAAATGTGAGACGGGGACCCCAAAATGCGGGTGGGGGAACCCCAGGGAGCCGAAAAAGCGGAGGGGGAGCCGCAGTAAGAAAGCGAAGCCGGGCGGTCGGGCGGTGGGGTGGGGGGGCAGGCAAGGTGGCGACGGCGGCGCGTGCGCAGTCGTTGGCAAGACGCCGGCGATCACGTGGTAAGTAAGGGCAGCCAGGAGCGGGACCGGCGACGCATGCGCAGTGGCTCTCGTGGCGGTGCAGCGCTCCCTGCTCGAGTTAAGGGCCGGTTCCGGCGGCAGGGCGGGACTCGCGGGCTCCCGTCTCTCCCGGGGTGTGTGTGGGGGGAATAACACGAAGATTTTTTGGGGCGAAAGCGCAGAAATTAGCGAGGAGGGACGCTAATTTGGGTAAACTCGGTCACCGGAAGTAGAGAGCGACCGGAAGTCCTCCAAAGCCCCGGCCCGGAAGTCCGCCAAGCCCACAGTAAAGATGGCGCCGCCAGGACCGGAACGACCACACTAAAGATGGCGGCCCCGGCCCGGAAGTCCGCCAAGCCCACAGTAAAGATGGCGCCGCCAGGACCGGAACGACCACACTAAAGATGGCGGCCCCGGGCCGGAAGTCCGCCAAGCCCACAGTAAAGATGGCGCCGCCAGGACCGGAACGACCACACTAAAGATGGCGGCCCCGGCCCGGAAGTTCGCCCCGACGCCACACTCAAGACGGCGCCGCCGCGACCGGAACTTAGCCGAGGCCACACTAAAGATGGCGCCGCGGCCCCCGCTCGCCCCGTTCCGCTCCGCTCCGCTCCCGCTCCCGCTCCCGCTCCCGCTCCCGCTCCCGCTCCCGCCGTGCCCTGGAGATGCTATCGGGGCTGCGCCGCCGCCTTCCCCCCCCCCCGGAAGCGACCCACGGCGGCAGATCCGACGGAGATCGTCCCCGGGGTAAGCTGGGCGCGGCGGGTGGGCGCGGCCGCTCTTCTGCCTCTCCCGCGGCCATCGGGGACTGCAGGCCGGGGAAGCGACAGGCAAGTTTCTCGCCTCTGCGGAGAAACTCGCACCTGCGTGCCGCCGCAGGGCCGGGTTCGGATGTGCCCTGGCATTGCACACGCACCACACCCCCCCGCGGGGAGGGTCTGCGCTGCCTCGGGGACCCTGTCTGTGCTGCCGGGAGAGAGAAATCCTTTGGGAAGCTGGGCTGGAAACAGCAACTCTGTGAACTGCTCAGCTTTTCCTAGGCAAGGGCAGGTTTTAGGGAAGAAAGGCCCGGACGCGCGAAAGGCGCCGCGGGTCTCGCCAAGGGGGGGGGGGGCGCGCGGCTGCAGCGCCGCGCGCGGCTGCAGTGCCGCTCCCGGCCGTGTCCGCCAGGCGGCGACTGTGAGGCAGGGCCCGGCGCTCGGGGGCGCTCTCGCAAGCGACGCTTGCCCTGGGAAAGCGGCGGGCTTTGGCACTGCCGGCCTTCCCCCGCAGTGCCCGGGCTGGCCCAGCGCCTGGCAAAACCTCGTAGGGAAAAGGCAAGCAACACCTGCGGTGGTTCTGCCCTTTCTTTAGCCGGGGACTGGAACACAGACAAAATCAAGGGGCTCTTTGACCTGGGCAGGCTCCCAGCATTTTTCAGCCTTCCTTAGCAGGGCATTCTCACCCTCTGAAAAGCTGAAAGGCTTTAACAGCTGGAGACGTGCCTGCAGCTGTGCAGATTAATGTAGTTTCTTTTAGGAAACGAAGGGGAGGTTTTCCTGTTGTGAGCCTAAATACCGAGTCTACTCTGCTTTTTCAATCAGGTGACGAAGCTTATGGAAAAAAGACCAAAGGCCTCGAGGTGAGCACATTCTACCGAGTTCTGCTTTTCTGGGATCGGTTTGGGAAAATCACGTGAAATTCTAAAAAGCTTCTCTCCGTGTTTTTCTAGTTGTTTTTTCAGCCTTGGTCTAAGTTTCATGTAGAAAAGGGCATAGAATTATTAGAATAGAGAAACACGACTTTCTCGGGGAGAGATGGAAGAAAAGTCTGCTGATTGCAGTTCTACTTTTCTTGTCTTCCCTTAGACTGTCATTTTCTCTCCCCTGCTGTTCAAATAGACAGCAATTAATTGCTCTGCTGAAGAGTTTGCTGTACTAAGTGTCTGTCAAATCGATGCCTTCAACTCGAGACAGCACCTGCTCCTTAGTTACAAAAAGTTCCTCACAGGAGATTTTCAGGCGTGCCCATAAATCTCCTGGCTGTTTGTTTGGGAGAACAGGGTTCTCTCGTCTGGGACAGAACAGTCATGGCATTTGCTATGGAATGCTGGTGGCAATGTAGTCAGAAGAGGCCCCCGTGCTTCACTAATTTTGCCTTTTTGTTGTTCAGGGTGACTTCCTACCAGGGATGTTCTTCTTGACCCCCCGGGCAAACGGAGGTGTTCACCTGGTCAGCATCAGGAGCCATCCTAACCGAGGCCCCGGTAGGTGAGTGCTGTTTGTGGGACTGCACAGCGAAGCTGCCTGTGGGAATGAGCCGGCTCTTGCTCGGGGTGCTCCTAACGACAGTGTCTTTTACTCCGTGTTCCCAGGCTCCCTCCTTCCCTTCGGTCGCCGTGGACACTGTGCCGGATGCCTCTGGCAGGACTAACCCCGTGGCTTTTCTGTCCAGCGTGCTGTGCTGTGCTGTGTGTGCCTGCAGGTAAGAAAAGCTGGGAGTGCAGTCCCTCTGCTTTGATTGCTGTATCTCTTTGGGAGTTGTTTTGGAGGGCAATGAGAGAGCGATTTGGTTTGAAGGGGACCTTTAAAGGGCACCCTGTCTTCCGTGGGCAGGGGCACCTTCCACTCTCATCCCCGGCTGGATGCTGCAAGTCCCATCCAGCCTGGCCTGGAACACTTGCAGGGATCCAGGGGCAGGCTCGGCTTCCCTGTGCGGTGTGCTCTAATAGCTCTCCACTGGCATCACGAAAAATGTTTTCAGCACCTTTTGTGCGACGATGGTAAGCAGGACCCGGGTGAGAATTGCCTTCTCTGAGGTGCAGAGGGAAATAATTCTCCTTTGAAGTCAAATGTATTGGGTTTGGCACGAGTCTTGTCTGCCTTCTGTTTGAATTGCTTTCTCTTCTGGGCAGTTGTTTTCAATTAAACTTTTATTTTGTGTCTCCCCCCTCAGCATCCTGTCCGAGACAAAGCTACCTTTCTTTCCTCGTGGGAATGGACTGG